AGGTTAATCGCCCATGTGGGTTTCATACAAGATTATACTGGACTAAGCTTTACCCCATGTACATTTCCCTTTTTATTTACCAAAACCTATCATGATCTGTTGGTTTGTTGAACCCAAAGTGCACATAGACAGGGAACTCAAAGGTAAAGTAAGAATAATTTATTAATAAGAAACCAAAGGGCTGACGTGGCAGCAAAACTTACAATAATTGAGGAGACACGGAGGGAGACAGATGACGCCTTAGACAGGACGATCCACAGGAAGAAACAAACGAACACAGAACTTATAGGGACACTAACGAGAGACAATGATGAACACCTGCGGTGAATGGGATGGAGGACAGGTGTGACAGGAGCTGGTTATATCAGAATCAGAATAAGTTTTTTTTATCATTGCACCGAGATACAACGAGAATATGTCCATACAGTCGTCTGAAAGATGGGCGGAGTGCACGTAGCTGCTGCTATAAAGTGCGGCCTTCTTATCCTTTTCAGAATACATTTTTTAGATAGAAAAAGGGACAAAGCCATGAGGGGAGGATAGTGGCATTACAAAAAATACCTGTTCACACCTTGTCCTAACAGGACACGATTTAAGACATTAAACAACTCTGCTAGCAGCACATTTATGAACAAGCTACACGTGCATTTGACGACGAGGCGGTCCATGAAGCACTAACGGATAGTCCATTGTCGTGATGAGATGATGGTCAGCCGGCAAAGTTCTGATAATCCTCCACAGAAGTGGGGGTTGCGATAGACAAAGCTTTTCCTTAGTTTACAAATTTCCCAGGAGAAATTGATAAGTCAGCCAGTTTCAAGGCCAACCAGGAAGTCAGATTCAGATAAATCACAATTGTTGATTTATTCAGGAAGACTATATTTTCTTGCCAGCCTCGAGTCTTACTGATACTTCCAAGGTCTGAAATGGCCAGATTAGGGTGCATTCTACTGGTCCGTGCTTACGAGTCTCTTCAAGGTCGTTTTCATGCTGACGAGTCCAAAGCCGCAGGTGGCCTGCGATTCAAATCACTTCCATCTTACGGTTTAGCTCATAAATCAGCTGATTTTGAGTCCTCAAAGCATGGACCAACCTTCACATAGGCAGCAGCCTGACGAGGGCCAAATTAGCTGCAGCTGTCTTCTTTGTACATTGATGAACCAGGATCTAGACTATTCCAAAAACAGGAAAACTGTTATCATAACTCTAATTATATGAAATTTGTGTGTCCTCAATCGACAGCAGAGGAAGACATCACCCCCAGATATACTGTATATCTAACTGCATGTGTGTCGTCCAAGCAAATGAGGATTCTCCAGGACCCTGTCGCTTTGTTGAAAAGATTTTGTCATTTGCATCAAAAGTCCATGAGGGAGGAAAAACTGAGGAAGGCAGGACAGATGACACAAACAAAACACAGATCCTCTCAAAACCAAATGGATCCTGTTTGAGTTGCACCTTTAAATGCTCCTGTGCCTTTGACTCAGCTGGTACCTCATACAGAGCTGACTCCGGTTACAGACCTAATCTATTGAACGATAAATGTGATGTCAGCCATCATTCAAGACATACAACTCTTAGTTCTGAATATCTTTGGATATGTTTAACCCACCTGCTAAACTCAGTCTGCATTATTCAATATTATATTTTATCTACTGAATAAATGGTTAAAAAGGAGAAAAATAATTAGAATATTTGAACAGTTAGTGTTTGATATGGTGCCAAAATTTTATGAATGAGTCTATATTTCCTACAAGTGTTTCATTTTGCAAAATGGCATGGGGTGTTCTGATAACTGGGTGTGATTGTGAAATTGTGTGAGGTGTTCCGAAAAAACGGGGCTCTGTTTTTAAAATTGCTCCTAAGAGATCATAAAAAGAAAAACTGTACTAGAAAATTAAAACAAGAAAGAAACATGCAATCCTATTAAACATGTTGGAGAAGCATCAAAACTATTCAAGCTGTGTGCTGATACTGGGATATCATAAAATACAAAGTTGAGATTTATTTCTTAAAAATAGCTTAATTGTTTAGATCAAATTACAAAATTGTGATTTGACAAGTTGCATAAAGTCTTAAAAGTGGTAGTGGTGCAGAACTTGTGTGATTAGTTAGTTCAAACACACGAAAACACTGTACACTTTTTTTTTTTTAATTCTTGTCAAGTTCAACTAAATGCAAATATTGACATCTACGAGAGCATTTGGACACTACAAAATGTTTCCTTTTAGACATTAGCTCAATTTAAGCCTAACTGCTTACGACCCATTCAAATTTGTTTTAGTCCAAAAGTTCTTACTGGACAGAAAAGATGCGCTTTAGGGGATAACACCCCATTTGGTACCCACTGACCCAAACATTGCTAATGTTATACAGTATCTTCAGGCCCAAATGGATTTTAGAGGAAATCCATATAGGATTTCCTCCAAAATATAGAACCAATTTTACAGCTCATGTATTCACAAACACCCATATTGGATCAGAAGATCACTATAAAGTAGAAGAAAACAACAAATCAAACATGTTACACTATGAATAAATGCAGAGCGGTGAAGGCTGTGCAGAAGTCTGTTGGAGTCAGCCTCCCCACCATCACAGACATCTACACCTCCAGATGCAGGAAGAGGGCCACCTGCATCATGAAGGACCCCACTCACCCAGCACAAACACTTTTTGCCCCGCTCCCCTCAGGAAGGAGGTTAAGGAGCATTAAGTGTAGAACCACTAGACTGAGGAACAGCTTCTACCCTGAGGCTGTTCGACTCATGAATCTCTAACCAGAATAATCACTGAGAAAAATCACATCATGTTGCTGCTGATCCGTTTCATGTTGCTGCTGATCCGTTTCATGTTGCTGCTGATCCGTTTCATGTTGCTGTGTTCATGTGTGCTCATCTACTCACACAGACTCATGTTCGTGCTGCAGTTTGACGTGATGTTTTTGTGCTATTAATGCTTAGTGTATTTTTGTTGATGTTTTTCTTAGTTCATATCTTAGATCTTATTGCCGTTTTTCTTTTACATTTTATTATTGGATGTAACTGGGACCCTGTGTACATAATTTCGTTCCACCACATGTACCACATGGGGTGCGAATGGCAAAGAACCTTGAATAAATTTTAAATCACAAAGCACACAATCATTCAAACCTAATAAGAGTAAATAACTTATTCCGTGTGTTTAAGTGTCTTAAAAAAAAGCTTTAATCCACAACTTCATATTTAATTACCGTATTTTTCCCACTATAAGGCGCACTTAAAAGCCTTTAATTTTCTCAAATATCAACAGTGAGCCTTATAATCCGGTGCGCCTCATGTATTAATTCTGGTTGTGCTTACTGACCTCGAACCGATTTTATGTGGTAAAGCTGAACAATCTTGAATTATTGTGAATGAGTTGAATAAAGTTTGACTTATCTGACTGTTTTGTTTCACTTAATGAGCCTTATGTATGAAAACAGACCCGTTCATTGATATTGCGCCTTATAGTCCGAAAAACACGGTAGATCTGTAAATGTTAACAAGACGTAGAAATGCTTTGACAATCTGAACATTTACAGCAGCTATAGTGTGGAACCCGGAGGACTTTTACTGCCACGCATCAGCGTGAGCCTCTGTTTCAACCAGGAAGAAAGGATGCGGCTAACAAGCAGGAAAGCTGTGCAGAAGCGCAGAGAGCAAAGGCGTACGTAGATCGCATGTCAGCACAGAGCAAAAGACTTCTTGATCAACAGTGAGGCACTGTAACTGAAGCAAAAAGAGCTCCCTGTGAGCTGATATTCAACCAAAGTAATGCTGCACGGCAGCCATTTATTAACCAACCCCAGAATCAGTTTGCATAAAAGCTGAATTTTCTCCAGCAGCTATTAGCTGTTCCTTAAACTGAATGTTGTGCCACCTGCTGCTCGTGCATATGTATGCACAGTGTGTGACTTCAAGCTGCTTTTATTGAGATAGTCACCCCTGCTGATGAGGATTACTAATTCAAAGAGACAAAATTTAGTAAGACGTGACAGAAATGGAAGAAGCGTTCCAGCACATTAAGTATTTTCAGGCACCAGATTTAATCTGGCAGGAGGTGTTACTTCCTGTGTTTCTGCTCATAATAAATACAGCGGTTTTTAAGAAGTCGAGGTCCAGAACCACTAAAGTTGAATTTAATGTCATAGTATTGTTTTGGTTTGAATCAAGCAAAAACACGATCACCTGTTTTTGATGACTACCGTATTTTTTGGACTATAAGGAGCATTAAGTGAAACAAAACAGTCAGATAAGTCAAACTTTACTCAACTCATTCACAATAACCACATACAATCGGTTCGAGGTCAGTTAGCGCCATCAGAGTTCAAACATAAGGCGCACCAGATTATAAGGCTCACTGTCGATTTTTGAGGAAATTTAAGAATTTCATGTGCTCCTTATAGTCTGAAAAATACGGTATAGGCAATAAAAACGATGAAGTTAGACGTTTGGAAAGTTTCCGGCAGCATTAAACTATGCGATAACGCCGTTTTAAAACAAATGTTTGAAGCAAGAGATAAGAATTATCGTGTTTGTCTGTAAAATAAAAAGCTAATTACTGACAATGTCAACTTGTCCCTTCATAAATTGGAGACAAAAGAAAAGACCTATAATATTATTCACAAAAACATTTTTACTGGAGTATTATAATCAAAAGTTTGGTATTATTATAAAACATTTTTACGTCTTTATGTGTTGATTCACTCATTAATTGTCTTCTTATCTGGGCATTAAAATCAAAACTCAGATTATAAAACATTCTAAATCTCTTCTCCACTCAGATAAAATAAATCCACTGGGCTACTTCTTGGTTCTCTTGTGGTCAGAGCAAATTCAACCAGACAATGAATTTACAAAAATTTACAACTTATTTTATTTTAACGTGACTAAAAAGTGCAATGAATCGTGCAAAGAGCGCTCATTTTGTATCGTTTCAGCTCTGTGCCTGTGTTTGTCAGCAGTTTAGCTTTGTGAGATTACCCAGAAGCTCCATGGCGTCATCCTCATCCTCGATCTCCTCCTCCAGGACGGAGGGGACGGTGCTGTTGACCGATTCAAACGAGTCCTGGGACAGCATGGCAGCCAGCAGCTTTTTGTGATGCTGCTGCTGCTCCTTCAGTCCTTTGCTCCTCGTCTCCATCTTTAGGCTGAGGAGTGAAAATCAAAACCCATAAAAACCTGGACTGCTTACTACTTAATAACATGTAAAGTATTATTGTTCCGCTCTGTAACATGCTTAAAACACAAACAAGTTTTCTTTAGGAACTGCACAGACAAAAAAAACCCTAAACCTTTCATGAAAATCCTGCTTGTGTTGCGGTCATGTCTTCATTTCTTATCTGTGTGAGGGTGAAGACTAAACAAATAGGCTTTTTTTTTTTTCTAGCTCAAACAAAAAGTAGATTTATCCTCCAACAACCATGCCCTGCAGTCACCCATGCATGGATCACTGCAGTGTAAAGAGCTGGGATAAAACACCATGCAGCCGATATCAGCACTGTGTGGTTGAAGTACATCTTTCTAAAAAAGATGAGATTGGGCGATTGCTGCAATGAGCAACTGAGCAATGTTTGGACTCCTGACCACAAAATAACAGGAACTGAGAGCATGTTACTTTAATTAACTTTAAGTGGTGATATGTGACTTTTCTATGCTGCTGATCTCATGCTGCTGTATTTATTCATACCATCTGCTCACCACAGACTCATGTTCGGGCTGCTGTTTAATATACCATATTATTAGCGTTTAGCGCATATTTTGGACTTTTTAGTGTATTGTTTAGTGTTCGTTTAGCGTATATCTTAGATCCTTGTATAGTGTTTTCTTTTTATGTTTTTGCCATTTTTGGGTGCAACTGGGACCTTGAGTGCACAATTTTGTTCCACCTCATGTACCACATGATGCGAATGACAATAAAGGGCCTTGAACATGTTAGCTTGAAAAGAGAAGCTGCTGAAAGTGTATGTTTTAGTCAACAATCAGTTCAAATCAGACAAACGCAAGAAAAAAAAACTATTAAATTAATGAAACATCAAAGACAGAAATCCAAAAAGATGAATTGTTTTTTTATTTACTTTCAGAGTCCTATGAGTCATAATGAACAGGAGTTGGTTTCAGCTTCATCAAAACTGTTCTGCTTAGATTTAATTTACATTTAATGTTCAGACTCCAGTTTATTGCATCGTTACAGTCTATACCACTCTTTCTCACTCGTCATTTATAAAACTTAGTGTGTCATCCTAAAGACTGCAGCTATGGACATATTTCACTTCCTGCTTAATTAATCTTCATTTGCATTTACTTTAAGATTGGTTTCACTTAAACAGTTGTTTTAAAAGCAGGACTGAATCCCTTATCTCTGACGCAACCATTTAAAAAGGACTCATTTGCATTACCAGCATATTAAATAAATTAATTATTATGCTTCGTATGAAGGTGTGGACTGTAAGACCGGAGGAGTGATCATTTGATGCTAATCTGTGTTTAATGACTTCTATTTGCAGCTAATAGGAAAGGGTCAAACATGATGGATGCAGAGTTTTAACATCCCCTGGTGAGGGTTTTGTGCTCATTAGATTAGTTAGTTTGATTCTACAAAAGCCATTTTCAAAGATGGTTTTGCTTTTAATGGCAACATTAAAATCACCTTAATTTTCCTTTAAATATGAGGGTGAATATTTACACACTGAGGATAAAATGACCAATTAATTAATGGATATTTATTTTCTTAACTTTTTCTCAAAATAAAAAGTAACTTATATTGTTCTCTTAAGATAAAGGAGCTCGTTTTCGCAACATAAATGATATACAATTAAAATATTCTGACTTAGATAAGTTCCATTTCTCATCAAATACTACAGTAACCAAAAAACAATTTTGAGTTCACAAATAAATAAAGGGTTGTTTCTTCATTAGAAATCAGGAAGTCCTTCTGGGACTGAATCAAGTTGACAATGGCATAAATTAACACCCATCACTGATTTATTTGACACTGATGGAGGATGCTGGGGGAGCTGGCTGTAACTGGAGACAAAAACACGTTAAGTAGCTCAGTTATTGCAGGATAACAGAACATTCAACAGTTGAGCTGAATAACTGAATGAAACAATAACAGCAGGTTTGTATTGTTTGTACCGAAGACATCAAACTGAGCAGAATAAAGCAACAAGAACCAAACTTAAGTAGCACAAATTATTCATTAAAACGATGAAAACTAGAAGTCAAAACACTGGCTTGGTCAGTAAAGCCCCACAACTGTTCCTACTTAGCAGCCACAAGGGATTCCCAAAAAGATCCTGATGTGAGCATCTTCACAGAGAAAATATGAAAACCATTAAATAAATTATATTTATAGAGTTCGAGTTCTGCCTCATAAGTACCGTAATTTCCAGACTATAAGCCACTACTTTTTTCTCACGCTTTGAACAATGATGTTGGTGAAGATTCTCAGTCATCCAGGATATGATTGTATTGAACGTTTTGGAATTTGAACAATGATGCGGCTAATTTATGGATTTTTCCACCTTTTTAGACAAATATGGACTGATGTGACTTATAGGGCGGTGCGACAAGTACAGCGCAAATTATGGTACATGCAGTGCCTTGCGAAAGTATTCGGCCCCTTTGAACTTTTCAACCTTTTGCCACATTTCAGGCTTTAAACATAATGATATAAAATTTTAATTTTTTTGTGAAGAATCAACAATAAGTGGGACACAATCGTGAAGTGGGATGAAATTTATTGGATGTGTCAAACTTTTTTAACAAATAAAAAACTGAAAAGGGGGGCATGCAATATTATTGTGCTCCTTTACTTTCAGAGCAGCAAACTCACTCCAGAAGTTCAGTGAGGATCTATGAATGATCCAATGTTGTCCCAAATGACTGATGATGATAAATAGAATCCACCTGTGTGTAATCAAGTCTCCGTATAAATGCAAATGCTCTGTGATAGTCTCAGGGTTCTGTTCAAAGCGCAGAGAGCATCATGAAGACCAAGGAACACACCAGGCAGGTCAGAGAGACTGTTGTGGAGAAGTTTAAAGCCGGATTTGGATACAAAAAGATTTCCCAAGCTTTAAACATCCCAAGGAGCACTGTGCAAGCAATCAAATTGAAATGGAAGGAGTATCAGACCACTGCAAATCTACCAAGACCCGGCCGTCCCTCTAAACTTTCATCTCAAACAAGGAGAAGACTGATCAGAGATGCAGCCAAGAGGACCATGATCACTCTGGATGAACTGCAGAGATCTACAGCTGAGGTGGGAGAGTCTGTCCATAAGACAACAATCAGTCGTACACTGCACAAATCTGGCCTTTATGGAAGAGTGGCGAGAAGAAAGCCATTTCTCAAAGATATCCATAAAAAGTGTTGTTTAAAGTTTGTTACAAGCACCTGGGAGACACCAAACATGTGGAAGAAGGAGCTCTGGTCACATGAAACCAAAATCCAACTGTTTGGACACAATGCAAAACGATATGTTTGGCGTAAAAGCAACACAGCTCACAACCCTGAACACACCATCCCCACTGTCAAACATGGTGGTGGCAGCATCATGGTTTGGGCCTGCTTTTCGTCAGCAGGGACAGGGAAGATGGTCAGAATTGATGGGAAGATGGATGGGGCCAAATACAGGACCATTCTGGAAGAAAACCTGTTTGAGTCTGCAAGAGACCTTAGACTGGGACGGAGATTTATCTTCCAACAAGACAATGATCAAAACATAAAGCCAAATCTACAATGGAATGGTTCACAAATAAACGTATCCAGGTGTTGGAATGGCCAAGTCAAAGTCCAGACCTGAATCCAATCGAGAATATGTGGAAAGAGCTGAAGACTGCTGTTCACAAACGCTCTCCATCCAACCTCACTGAGCTCGAGCTGTTTTGCAAAGAAGAATGGGGAAGAATTTCAGTGTCTCCATGTGCAAAACTGATAGAGACAAACCCCAAGAGACTTGCAGCTGGAACTGCAGCAAAAGGCAGCGCTACAAAGTATTAACGCAAGGGGGCCGAATTATATTGCATGCCCCACTTTTCAGTTTTTTATTTGTTAAAAAAGTTTGACACATCCAATAAATTTCAATCCACTTCACGATTTGTGTCCTACTTGTTGATTCTTCAAAAAAAAAATTTTTTTGTCTTTATGTTTGAAGCCTGAAATGTGGCAAAAGGTTGAAAAGTTCAAGGGGGCCGAATACTTTCGCAAGGCACTGTATATACACACACACTATATATGCACGCATATTTAAATTTAGTGGGTACAGCCTATATTCAGTTGTGCTCAACAGTCCAGAAATTACGGTAAAAAAAAACAACTTTGTAGACACTGTCAGCCTGTCAAAGAATTCATACTCATCTTTAGTCTTTAACTGAATCATTCATTCAGTAACTCAATATTAACTGTATCTGAGGTCTACCTATGATTTATGGTTTTATATCCTTCCTTTTTAAAACGTCACACCCACACACACATGCATACTTATACATAAAAGTTCCCACAGCTCTCCTTATTGCTCTTCTGTGACCTCTATTCACAGCTTTACTGAAACACTGACCTTCAAGAAGACCAAATAATACCTCAGCAGCTGACTAATTCATATTAAAACTGCTTTGCAAACGTGACTTCAAATCACGTTTATTTATATATACACTCAGAAGTCTCTTCTTCTTTTTAAGAGCTACAAATAGCTTTGTAAAGTTTTCAACTTTACCCATTTACGACCACAGATATGCAGGGACTAACCTGCGAGCTGGGCTGTTGTCTCGGCTCCAGCACACTTCGGTTTTGGCTCGAGGGACCGGGGGCTGCAGCATCTCAGCAGCCAGCGGGTCTGCATCGTTTTCCTCACGACCGCCCCACTCGCCCACCACTCGAGGGCGCAGGACTGCGTTATATCCCATAAAGGTCTAAACAGATAAGGTTAAAAATGCATTCACTGATTCCTGCACACATTTTACACACCAATAAAAAAATAAAAAAATATATATTTCGTATCACGACTAAACCCTATGGAACACCAAAATGTTCAAAATTAAATAAGCAAATAAAGCATTATGAAATAAGTATCTAAGCTCATTTTTATGAAAACTCTTCATTTTTATTCTTTCATTTCATAATGGCGATTTTCATAACGACTTATTCATAATGTCACTTTTCAGCAGAATGACTTCAGCTGTCAATCAATGTCAGTGGGTTGAACCCGCACGCCCACTGGCTTCACAACAGTATTGTCCATCCATCCATTATTTTTACCCGCTTATTCCATTTTGGGTCACGGGGGTCGCCGGTGCACATGTCCTGCAATCACTGTGCGAGTGGCGGGGTACACCTTGGACGGGTCGCAAGTCCATCACAGGGACACACAGAGACCAACGAGACAAACAACCATTCACTCTCTCACTCACTCTCACTCCTAGGGACAATTTAGAGTTACCAATCAGCCTAACATGCAGGTTTTTGGTCTGTGGGAGGAAACCGGAGTACCCGGAGAAAACCCACGCGTGCACGGAGAGAACATGCTAACTCCACCCAGAAAGGCCCCTGGACCAGAGTTTGAACCAAGGACCTGCTCGCTGAGAGGCAGCAGCTCTACCAGTTTCGCCACCATGCTGCCAACAGTGTTGTCAAGTTTGCTTATTATTAGTGACTTTGGGCTCGTTTTTTCTAAAGTCCCTTGCAAATCTTCTGAGTCGTGTTTTTTTGGGCTTGTTTTGAACGTGATGTTGCTTATCTGGGCTTGACTTTCTTTCCGAGTGAAACTAGTTGATTATCTCCCAGCTCCGCACAATAAAGCAAAAGACGAGTGGTCATAAGTAGTTTGTCCCTTCCAAGCCCCCGTTTCCTGTTTATTGCCTGTTTATTGGCGACAGGCACACACACAAACTCATACTGTGGCCGACCACTAGGGGGCTCCACTCACACACGTCAGGATGTTTTGTTTTAAAAATATGATTTACATATTTTTACATATGCAAAATGTATTTTTTCAGAGCTTAAAAGTATGTTATTCAAAGTGTTTTGCTGTTGTTTATGTGTAATGCCATAATAAATGTATGTATATACTGTTTAAAAACGGCCTCCGTTTTACACAATGTGGTAGGTTGCCAGTTGTGCTTGTTTTCATAGAGCTGGTTGCTTGTTTCTATTGCAAGATCTGGCAACACTAATTCACATCCATTCATTTTCCTGAATACCTGCTCACTGGTACAGCTAGCATAGCAGCTAGCAGCGACTTGCTAGGTCAACAGTCGTGACGGATGGCAGAGTTGCGTGAACTTCGTTCAGCTCAGGTAACTTTAGCAGATCAAACTGAGAAGATACAGGTGTCGTGACAAAAAGTGATGGACCGCCATAAATCGATCGGTGCCGCGGGAGCGCGCACGGGAGGACTCGCTGTTAGCTGTACCAGTGAGCAGGCAGGTCCAACCCACTGACTGTGATTGACAGCTGAAGTCATTCTGCTGAAAAGTGGCATTATGAAATAAATAAGCCATCATGATGAACACGATTATGAAATAAAATAATGAATATTTTTCCTATTTTATAATGTCTTATTTATTTATTTAATTTTGAGCATCTTGGTGTTCCATAAAACCCAGCCTGGTTTGAAATTTAATGGACTTAGCACGATGAAAGCATGTGCTCATTCATTACATTTCAATCAGAAGAAAGAAAATTGTTGGAAATGTTGTGCTGTGCACAGAAGCCGTCACATCCATCTTTTCTGAATGGATCTGTGCAGCCTCTGCTTCAGTGTGCCGAGAGAGATGGGACTCGGCGAGGACAAAGACAGCTCGGGTAAAGTTTTTGCAAGTAAGACGAACGGTTAAGCAGCAACGCTGAGAGACAAGACAGGGTGGCTGAAAAATCCTTTTACATGACCATTTATCATCAGAACCCAGGCCGTGCTGCTCTGTCAACCAAGTGATTCGATGCAGCGTGGAGAAAATCTGACAGGACAGGACTCGATTTCCTCACAGCTTCAACATTGTTAGATATTAATGAGTTTCGTAAAGATTCCAACACATTGAAATTGTGCCTACCTGGTCGAGCTCATCAGAAATGGCAATGCCTGCAGGGAAAAGACCAAAAGGTTCATCGCACAAACGTGTAACTCGAGCAGTTTAAAGGCCATTTTCATGACGGTTCAAAGCTGCTAAATTTACTGAAAGTTGTAGACTTTTAGTGTCGAAGGTTTAAAAAGATCTTTTAATCTTTCAGTTTCTCTCGAGTTCAGATAAAAAAAAGAAAAAAAGTCTCATTCTGACATTTATATTAAAAAAGTTGTATCTGTGTGATGCAACCTTTCATCTCTATTGAATCAGCTGTGACGACCTCATAACGATGACACATTTTTAATCAACATTAAACTTTAAAGAGTTGCCAACCAAGAACTCAAGAATCCAAACGTGAACTTAAAGGTTACATGATTTAAACAAGTTGTTCTTGGAGTAAAACTTGTTTGAACCTCTGAGGAATTCAGAGAAGCAACTCTTGCAAATTAATGGAGAACCAGTTGGCTATGGCGGCCATTTTGACTGAATTTGCTCCAAAAATGATTCCATTGTAAATGTTAATCTATGAACTATTATCTGAGAGTTTCAATCAGATCTGTCCATTGTTCATTAAATATTTTGCTAACACATACAGGGACCCAAGCTGCAAAAACGAGCTGGATTTATCTCAAACTTATTCCTTCTTTTGATTGATTGATTGATTTTTTCGGCTGCTCCCTTCTTCAGAGGTCGCCACAGTGGACTAACTCGCACGAAGACTTGGAAATTGTTTCTACACCGGATGCCCTTCCTGATACAACCGCAGACCACCGAGCTACCACAGCCCTCTGTGTGGAGCAGAGAGCTGCTATCTAGGGCATCGGGGGGAGCAGATGGTGGGGGTTAAAGGCCTTGCTCAAGGGCTCAGGGTGGAACAAATGAGGGTGGAGACAGGTTTAGGTGTTTCACCTTTCCCACCCGCATTTTGACGTCGTCAGTATGGGGAGTTGAACCGGTGACCTTCCTATCACAGGCTCACCTTCTCCAACCTCTGCGCCACCACTCCTCCAACATTCCTTCTTTTGATGCCGATGACGTTTTATTTTATGTTTTTAATCTAATTTCATCTTTCTCTGATACCATAAATATAGTTGTACATCCACTGTAGGAAGTGGAGGGTTAAAAAGCCCTTCTTCCCTTGTTTTATGAACAAATTTAAGTCACATTATTCTTCATTTAGTACATAAAAAACTGGAAAACTGCTAGAATCATCTAACAGATATCGAAAACCTTTTTGTTTTATGTTTCTCATATAATCTTACTCCTTTGTATTTTTTATTTTATTTTTCATTATATTGTAAAACCTCCACGAGTTTGTATTTGTATCTTGTTAAATTGTTCTATTTGGGGTTGTTAATAAAGTTCTAAAGAAGAAGAAGCAGCAAAAACATTACCATCCACCTTCACCTTTCAGCAGCAGGTAAGAAAGGATGCTTTTAAACACCTGATTCACTTTTTAATCTGCTGCTAACCGAGAGTTAAACCTCCTTTTCCCACCCACATTTATGTATATAAATACTCACTGTCCTGCATAAATAAAGTATAATATTTACACCTCATTAATTCAATTGTGCTCTGAAGAAATCTTTAAAGGGCTCGCTGTGAAATGTAATGACAGCTCTGACACGACATACCACACCTTAAAGCACAATATTGTCTATTTTATTGCAAATTGGACATCAAAGTATAAGATGTAAAACTGATATTTTAGATTGCATGTTGCCATAGTATATTACTAGAAACAGAAATATTGTTTAGCAAGAAGAAAACTTGAAATAAAGAGCTTTTCTTCATATTGGGGCTCCATATAACATTATCACTCAACAACTTTCTCCTGTGTGCTGTTTTTATACATTACTCGACTTTGAACTTGGAAAAAAAATACTAATACAGTGAGCTATACTGTAATCCAGACATGTTTAAAAATATATATTTTTGGGGGGTTTCACTCATGCCAACCTGAAGAAGCTACAGAAGTGCTGTTTATATCAGCCATCTGTGCAGTCTCTGACCAACAAGTCTGAAAGGCGAGTGGAGAGCTGCTGGGGATCAGAATATGTTCTGCAGCCTGGTGTTGCTGAAACAATAATACCGCATCATTAATATTCCACCTGTGTCCTTAGTTCTTCAGTTTTTACGTTTTTTTCACCGGTGCATCTCACATTTACTACAATCAGACCGTTCTTATCGGGATGCAATAATGAAGAAAGCAAATGATCTCAACTTTCTTCTGTGTGCTTTTAGTTTTGCTCCTGCTTTACACATGAAACCTCATTTGAATTCGTGGGGACCTCTCATGCATGAACAACCTGGATTCTGAAAATGTAAAATAAAAAACAGAACGCAATCATTTAACAGGCCATTTGGTTTCTGTCTTCTTTACTACAAAGGAAGCAGTTTTTGGAGTTTACAGAAAGATTTGTCTGACCACAGAACAGTCTTTTTTGCCTCAGTCCATTTGAAACGAGCGTTGGTCCCGAGAAGACTGTGGGATTTCTGGACTGTATTTACTGTAAATACTGACCTGCTGCCAAAAAACTGAATCAGCTGCAAAATCATCTCCCTGTTTCTTCTTACCACTTACTATGAAAGACTTTTGTTGCCCCATGTTGCTGCCATAAAATCCAAATGTACCGTTTTAATGGTGTAATTTCTTATACTTTAAACATTTAATGTGTTCATTATGTTTTAATCCCAAGTTTAAACTGCAAGTTTAAGCCCAGGTCGGGTCAGGAAGGGCGTCCGGTGTAAAACAATTGCCAAATCTTTTATGCGAGTTCGGTTGCTATGGCGACCCCTGAAGAAGGGAGCAGATGGAAAAAACAAAAACTATGTTTTATATTATAATATGGGTTCATGGTATTTGAAATTGTTAATTACTTGATTTACAAACCTGTGTGCAAAAATGTCTTTAAAAAAACTTTTTCCAAATAAAATAAGATCAGTAGAAAATCTGGTAGATAAATAAAAACAATATGTTCAGAGCTCTTGCAACAGACTACCAAAGAGAAGATGTCATTCTCGGATATTTTTTTTTATAGATCTTTTTCTTTTTAATAGACCTGAAAACAAACTTGAAAACAACCTCATTTTTTATGATCAAAGTCCATCTTTTTTTTATAGAGTCTCCAAGAAGATCTAATGATGCTTTTACTAAAAGCTATAAATGATTCACAAAGTTTCCAGCTGATTTTGTGAAGACGGGCTAAATTCTGCTCGGTGTGATGGGAACATGAGGTGCAGCCACTCACTGCGTGACAGGCTCTCCAGGGCTTTGCCGAGCTTCTTGCTCTCCTGCAAGATGTGGCTGAGCTCATCGAAGTCGCGGCTTTCCCTCCAGTCCCAGGACGGGTACTCGACTGACCGCGGCACTGGACATCACAAAACACAACCTACGTCAGAAGCTCTGAAAGCTGCAGCCCTGTTCAGTACTGTAAACTGTAAACGCCACCGTTTGTTTGGAGCATCTGTGTGAAGTGAAGTAGAAGCTTTGGCACAAAAATCACCACAGCGTTTCCAGAGGCACAGAACTCACTGGTGCGAGGCCAGGGGGACAGTGTCAGTCACTTTGATTCCCAAAACAACTCAAAACGGGAGCAGGAACTGACCCACATACCCCAATATGAAGCCAGTGTCTTCCTGTGCCACCCACAGCCCTGAAAGGATGCTTCATTTACACGCTGTTACCAAACACTACTAACAACAAGTCTTTTAAGGTTTTAAGGGGGAAAAGGATTACTCGTGATCTATTCATCTCTAACATTCTTATTCTCCTCCATTTAAGTCAAGTCAAATTTATTTATAAAGTGCATTTAAAACCAATGTGCTTAATAAAAATCACAGCATCAAGTAAAAAAAACAAAAACAACAAGATATAATTAAAAGCATTAAAAAAATGAAAACAAACACGATGAAAAACATTGGGATAATAAATCAGATCACACTGTGTTAAATGTCAGTGAATACAGGTGCGTTTTAAGGAGAGATTCAAAAGCAAGGAGTGAAGTCCTGTCTAATGTTGGGGGGCAGATTGTTCCAAAGTTTAAGACCAATGAGTGAAAAAGTCTGATCTCTGAGCTTCAGCCTGGTTTTTGGTACAACCAAAAGCAGCTGGTCAGACAATTTCAGTGCCTGAGAAAGAACATTTGGTTGAAGTAGGTCAGAGAGGTATGAGGGTGCAAGGTCTTTAACGCACTTTAATGTCAACAGGATAATTTTAAAATCAATTCTGACATGCACAGCTGAGCTGCAGCATTTTGGACGAGCTGGAGACGTGAAAGGGACATCTGACTGACCCAAACATAAAGTGCATTACAGTCCGACTGGGTTGTAACAAACGCATTGACTAAATTTTCAAGGTCAGATCTGGAAAGCACGGACTTAAGCTTAGCTATCTGCCTTAGCTGGAAGAAGCTTTTTTGAATAACAGACTGTTTATTAAACTTTAAGTCAGATTCTAAAACCATCCCGAGATTCGTAACAGACCGCTTAAGATATGGCTGAAGAACTGAAGTCAAGATTTACGAGATCAGTGACAGCAGTAGAGCAGCGGTAAACAACACAATGACTTCAGTTTTCTGATCATTAAAACTTTAAAAAATTGAAACCATCCATCCATGCCTTCATGTCATCGAGACATTTTAACAGAGGGTCGAATGGAGCTGGAACTGTTGAGTTTTAAGGCCAGATAAATCAGCATAACAATGAAAGGAAAACCATGATTTCTCAGGATAGACCCCAAGAGGAGCAGATACAATAAAAACAGAAGGGGTCCAAGAATGGAGCCTTGTTGGACCCCGCAGGAAAGAGGCACAGAAGCAGATAAACTATTACCAACATTAACACAAAATAAATCTGTCACTCAGATAAGAATGGAACCATTTTAACGCTGCACCAATAATCCCTACCCAGTGTTCTCAACGCGATAAAAGGATTTAAACAGACAATGAATTTAAAACCAACCTACAGGACGTTAGAACGGTTTTTCTGCATGTGTAAATGCAACATATACAGGAGCATCTGCTGACAGACCTGTGCAGAAAGTAAGCATCAACTAAACAAATAAGTTTACCGTTTGACAGCAGCCTTGCTACAGTCTGTTTTCCCCGACTAACTAAGCTGCTTGGCACTAAAACAGCCCAGCAAATGTTTCTGCCAAATCCCGAGCAAAGATCAAATATATTCTTTCATTAACGTTGACAAAATGAGGTCTTTTTTGTTTTCTCCACAAGTGTTGTACCCCGCAGCAGCAAAAGGTTGTGCTCAATCTTAATCACTTGGATTACAAAGGTTAAGCGTTTACTTCTGACAGGATCCGTCCATTTAAAAACTCTTAGTCAAGTGGAAAAGAGGTCAAAACTCTTCAACCCTCTGCACAAAAAGGTGCATTGATTTTTACACAGGGATTTGGTGTGTTAGTGCATCTTCATCGTGTTGCTTTTGAGTGGCAGTTCTTCTGATTGGGAAATTTTCATGAGCTCTGCAGGCCAAAACACCTCTGCATGTTTTTTTAACTAGTTCAAGCTTTCAAGGCTTCTTACTCTCTAAAGGGACAGCAGGAAGTAGAGATGAGCTATCTTCTAAGGCTAGTTGACATGGGCAAAACTGGAAGGAAAAAAGTGACTCTCACAAATGTTTCTTAACAGTCTTATATGCCCACACCCTCCTCCTATTAAGATTATTTTTTCTGCCAGTAGCTGGGAGTTTATTTTGAAAGGTTAAACATAGTGGAAATTTTAGTCATGGGTGAGGTCAATGTGCATTCATCCCCCACTACTTGGATTAATTGAACCAATAACAATTTATTTTAAGACCCCTGGCTAGCCAACTTAGCAGCAGCACATGTCTCTGTACCTGAAGCCTTTGTTTCATTCGAAGGTTTATCAGCTGCTGGACTGAAGATGACTTTCTCTGCTATTAAAGCGCTTGTGCTGTATTATGAGCAAAAAAATGCAGATTTGGTTTGCATTGTTTGAAACAAGGATTGGAGTCAAGTTGTTTGATTTTACGCAAAAGTAGATCAATTTTCGAAACTGGACGCTTTTTTAAAAATAGTCAACAAACAGCCATGCCTGTACCAGTACTTAACCACTGACCAAGTATGAAAAGATGCAGCTACAGTAGCTACAGCCAACTTTCTGTAGCACACAACTGATTTTTTTAGGTGACAACTTTCTTCTGTATACTATTTTTAGGAGTACATGTTTTTCTAAGGATTGTTAAATGTTGGTTTTTATTAATTAAATGAACATAAAGCTATATTTTATTAAATGAAATTACATATGGAACAAAACTTTTTTTTTTTTTTAATCTGTGTTGTATATCGGTCATTGGCTGCCCCAATTTCTAAAGACTGATGAAGCCATGGGAAGAAAAAAAAAAATCAGTCACCTGTTATGTTTGGAGAAATGTTTGGTCATATGTAGCTGGGAGGCTGGGGTGGGCTTTAATATTTGAAGAAATCCAAAAAGTTGTTTTTGCTTAAAATGTCTATCTCTCACAGAAACATTCATAAGATAAGATATAAGATACGATAAGATATAAACTTTGTCGTCCACAATTGTGGCAGAAATTCTCCTTTGACAAACTCTACATTTATCATCGGACTCAGGTGAATTCAGTGAGAGGCCCACTTAGCTGAGTGGAGCACTCCTTGAGCACTCTACCTCTGAGCCTGTCAGGACCAGGGGCTTTGTGTGGGTTAACTTGATGGAGGATGGAAGAGATGAGCCGTTCATCAATGATAATGTCTTTGAGAGTGGTGTCGAGTGTTTGAGGGATCCATCTGGTTGGAGTGGAACTGCTGTTGGATCTGGTGACATATCTATTCCTGATAGAGATTACTAGAATAGAGACTCAGAACACTGACAGAATAGAATACTCTACTCAGTATCCATTCAGGAGGGCGAAACGTCTCTCAACAACAACAACAAAAAAAAGAAACTGTCCAGATAACCTGACTGAACATTGTTGGATTTTTTTTTTTACCTGGATTATAGAGCATGAACTTTGATATTTATTCAGTTGTTCTGCAAAGGAGGTTGGCTCCAGACAGTCTACTGATGCAGGCTTGGAAACTGCCCAACATGGAATATGGACCCCGACATTCATCATTGGGTTTCCAGAAGTTAACTTTCCTTTGGTTTTATTCTCGTATTCTATTTTTGCTGTCCTAGCCTTTGCGTTAAACCTCTTCTGGAATTCCTTCACCTGTTGTATATCTCCTTTTAAGAAGGCTTCCCTCTTTTGAACCAGGCAGATTTTCACGTCCTTGGATATCCACTTTCTTATTGTTTGGATAGATTATCACCCGTTTGGTGGGAGTGGCACTATTTTCACAAAATATATATATATATATATATATATATATATATATATATAAAAAGAGGTATCAGATCTGTTCAAACAAAGATTATCGCTGCAGTCGTGAAATAACTAATTCCAGACTGCTGATTCAAAACAGCCTCAGTGTTTCAGTTGCTTCATTGCTCCAGAGTTGAACAGATTTTAAGATGTGCTGCTCCACTGAATGCGAGTTCAGAAAGGTTAGAACACCTTGATGTCTGTCCGAGTTTGTCTCCTCGCTTGTTGTCTTTTTGCAGACGTCACGTGCTCACTCCTCTCCGCTCGCTTCCCTACAATTGTGGCCGCAGACTAAAATAGACTTTGTCTGGCAGTGACAGAGCGCGATGTTAAATTATTGAAGCAGTCTGTGGCTCTGATTCCTCCCCATTTGACCCAAACTTGCTGCTTCCAGTCTCATGCTTCATTCCAATGCCACAGTTATGGTCATTCATTTAAAAACTATAAAAAGTTTCTGTATCAATTCTGCATGTACGCCTGAATCTTGTGAATAATTTACTTCAGGAGGAAATGTATAAAGTGTCACTTTCTAATGAACTAGTCTCAGAGGCGCTGGAAGGAGACGCTGTGACGAACTTTAATTAGATACAATTACATCAAATTAAATGAAGTTTAAAGTCAACGGAGCATGTAATTGGGAAACAAGTGATGCAACAGGTTTCAAAACTGTGCAACTTTGTGTTATAAAAGTAGATCGAACGTGTCTCTGTAATCAAAGGAAGCAACAAACAGAAGAAAACTTATGATGGTGCAGAAGCTAAAACTTACAGGACTTCGATTCTGGTGAAGGAGGAGAGATGCTTGAAACAGCCAGGTCGCTCTTGGATTTCTTCGGTTTCTTTGGGGTAATTTGCCACGGCTTCTCCAAGTTGCTGTACTCCCTGCGCGGGTTTTTGTTTTCTGTTGGGAAAGACAAATATGTACAGGTAGAATGATGTCTACAGGTTAAGGAGAGACCAATTGAGCAATCTGCAGATTAACAGGGCCAATTTTAGGCATTTAAATTATCCTTACCAACCATCCCTGAGATCTAAGCTGATTAAAAGACATTTTATGGTATTTTTAAGAACAGTTCTATGTCCCCGTTGGAAAAGGTTTCAATGGATGTGGATCGGCACGGACAGATTTTCTGTTCTTCCACAGATGTTTTGGCCTCAGGTCCAGACGCTTGCTTACTTTGACTGACCTTGTCTAAAGCAACTCATGTGTTTTGTTGGCAGTGTGCTTGATGTTGTCGACTTGTTGAAATACAGGCTTTAGCCCCAGACTGAGACCCTCAGCACCCTGGAAAAGGTTTTCCACTCTGGATCAAATTATTTTTCTGCTCCTCTGTCCTCACTTGTCTCCTGGTGTCCTCAGCGGAAACAAACCTTTATGAAATTATCCTACAGTCCACCGTGTTAGACTGTAGGGATTGTGTTAATGAACTGTTCCGTGCCCGTTTTCCTCCACATGCACACTTTCAGAAACTGATGTTCATTCTTTTTATATCGCAAAAATATATTTTTATTACCATATTTTCTGCTGTATAAGTCACAACCTTTTGTATAAATTTGCAAATCCTGTGGCTTATATACTGAAGCAACTAATATACCTTTTTTCCCCATATTTATATTCCAATTTTTGGCTGAGATCTGACGATTTCATTCATTTGGACATGGAAAATATTAAACACTACCATTCTCAGCCACTAGAGGGCCCTCGACTAATATGGCAAGCCAATTGTCTCATTAATAGGTAAAAGTGGCTATTAATGAGACACTTCGCTTGCCAGAGCAAGCCACCTTCGTCTCGCTCCGGAACTCCTGAAGCAAACGTCAAATCAGCTGCATTTCACCGCGCCGCCCAGGAGAAATGCAGCTGATTTGACCATTAAAGTGCATTATGTAAAAATTAAACTGAGACACACCTTTACTATAATGTCAAGCAAACAAATAATTGTTTATAGGTGGTTATCTTGTAAAAATTACAAAGAAATGCACAGCGAGTCCTCCCTCTGCGCACTCCAGCAGCCGCAAACTGATTTTTGAAATGCAGCCGATTTGAGCGTCAAAGTGCATTTATTAAGGAAAAGTTAAACTGAGACACACCTTTGATATAATTTCAAGCAAGCAAATAATTGTTTAAGTGTTACGCTTTTTAAATTCTTGTAAAAGTATGCACACTCCTGCGGCCGCCATTTGGCAGCCCATCAATTTTTGGCACAACGCCGGCCCATGTTTCTGTGTGGTCAGTGGTGATAATGCATAATAGATGCAACTTATACGGCGGTGCGACATATGCTGGCAAGTACGGTATATTTTAAAAGTTTTATAAGAGTGTTTTACTAATTTCTCAGTCAGCTCTTTGCGTGAAAAGTCTTATTTTACCCTGAAGGTCTGACTGATGTAGAGTTTTGTCTCATGTGCCGTCCAGCATTGAACCAGCCATAGTCGGCCCAGCCCCAATCTTCCCCAGCTTTGGTTTTGTTTGCTTTCAACACAGAGACACCTTCATGTAGGCGAGATCATTACAGCAAAACTGCACAAATATCAGCTCAGCAATAACTGCACCTTGTTGTTTTTCCAGGGCATTTCTTTTGCACAGCCATGTTTTTCTAAAGGAAAATCAGAGATCTCTCTATCACACAACCAGCCAGAAGCAAGTAGCTGAAGGAAATGGTAAGGAGCAGTCGCTGGAAGTATGACTCATCTGTGATGTGACCCCCCCACCCCCTCCAGGCCAGCGAACCAATCAATGGCCACCAGCCTGATGACAACAAATCTGCAGCATTAGCCTGGCCTGAATGGAGCTCCAGGTCTTTGGGTTCCAACAAACGAGTTGGACTGGGCCAGACTGCCCAATGCCACACTCAGTACCCGGGTTGGGCCTGTCCAGGTCGGGCCGGGCCTTACAATGCATAAGGGCCATTAGACTGATGATTGTTCTTCTTTGTCCTCATCTAATCACTAAAAACACTTTCCATCTTATAAGTGCTGCTGTGCATTAAGGGTATTTTAAACTCTGCAGGTAGAGTGGTGCACCCTGCACTGGACATTTATCTTGGTTTAATCCTGTAGTGAAGGTGTGTGGAAAATTATCTCAAATTATGCTTCCGTTTTTGGTCATAAACATCAGTTTCAGAGCTGACACACAGAAATGCGTGTCCTTTTTGATTATGCCCAGTTTATAAATAGATACCAGCAGGGGTGCACAACCTTTGTAAGCACCACTGATTTATTATGAGATGGGGACAGAACCTGAAAACATTTCCACTGTAAATTGTGTTGGTGTGCACGAACCCGGTGAACTCTGTGCCCACAGCGCTGCCGAACCGGAGAAAGCTCTGTGCAGTTTTCCATGGCTGTCTTGCTTGGACTGCAGGTGATCAATGAGAAAAGGGATGGGATGATCTGGAGTCTCCGTTATCAGTTTGGTCATCAACTCCTACGGAAGCAAAGCAAAGCAGAGAATCATTAAATAAAAGTCGCCACTACTAAAGAAGCGTGTGGAGAGAGAGAAAGAGAGAGAGTGCAGTGGATTACCTGCCAAGCTGAAACAAAAAATAAACTATTCAGCAGTACAGGGCTTGCTCTGCGACTGACCTCTACAACAGGAGACTGAGTCGCCGGTAAAAGAGTTTGTCTCCATGGTAGAGTAATGAATTTACTGGGCTGTCTGTCAATATCTAACAAAAAGACAAGAGAACAGCAGGCTGGTTTCTCCTGCTGTGTCAGATAAGTGTCCAAATTCAGACGGTAAGTCAACAGAAACTGCATCATTTGGGTCATTAGTGGTGCTCTACAGCCGAATTTTAGCTGCTGCCTTTGGGTCAAAATAACCCACAAGGCCCCAGCTTGTCATTTTGATCCGAGGGCAGCAGGAGTGTTGATTGAGCCCTATCTAACATTTTGGGGTTGACGAGGAAAAAAGACAAAATGTCGAAAAATCTATGATAAATGCAAAAGAAAGAAAGCTCAATAATTCATATATTTAGCTTTTAACCAATTAAGATATGCTCTTTGGAAAAAACCCAAAATCAGATCTCTTGTTTATGCAGCCCGAAAAATGTGCAAACATTGTTACAGTGAAGAACGAAACTGATTAAAATAAATAAAAGGTCATAAAACAACATAACGATGTGGTGATTGAACCAGCGTGATACGGCAGAAAGAGACCATAAGCAGCGCTGCAACCGTTAGAGACGAGCTGGTGACACAAAAATGCAAGAAGCAGGAAGATTTAGACCAGTTTTTTTAGTAATGATCTGGGCCTGAACTCCGAGGACGCGTGTCAAATTCACAAACGCTAAAATGAGAAGGCCTCAACAACTATGTGATAATTTTGAAAGAAAATTAGGTACAATTTTTTGAACATGTTCCAAATTTGAGCATAAAGACTTCAAGCCTGTGCGAGTCAAACAAAACTGCAAGCGCCTGGAAATGTTTCAAGACATTTCAAACTCCCAAAACGTCTCCAGTACCACTTCTCAGCCTGTCACGAGCATTTTGTAGTAGTTTACACAAATACAATAAAAAAAAAAAAAACCAAGCTATATTAGCATTATATTATATTAGTTATATTATATTAAAGAGGTGGCTGCAAGTTGGGGCAGCTCTGTTACGTTCATTCTGAGATTTTGCTTTTGGAAACTTTAATTCCCCTTTTGCTGGATGTAAATCACATTTTTTTGGACAAATGTTTCCTCTGGTGTCGGATGCTGTGCAGTTGGAATGATTTTTACTAAAACTTTTTTAGTTTTGGACATTTGCTATAATGTGTATCCATGACAACAAGGTGTTTTTTTTTGTTGTTTTTTTTATTTGTTTTTATTTTACAAAACGGGAGCAGCTGATTAACATCTCAAAAGATCAAATTATCTCTCAGCTGCAGCCCTGAATCTCAAATGAGTTGAAGAGGAGGCACCGTGGATACATCCCTGTCTCCCTGCCGGCTGTGCTCGAGTGCCTGACAACTGAGATCCTGGAACTGGCAGGAAATGCGGCTCGTGACAGCAGAAGGACTGGGATCATCCTCCGACACCTGCAGCTGGCTGTCTGCAGTGATGAGAAGCTCAGCAGGCTGCTGTGAGGAGTGACCATCAATCTGAGAGGAGTTCAGCCCGGCATTCGGGCGGTCCAGCAGCGCGGGGGAACCGAGAAGCCAACTGAGTCTGGGTGGACGGCATCTGCAGCAAATTTCTTCAGATCCACTGTGGGACAGACCTTTACAAGAAATCCTTCCTGCCTACAGTCATCAATATCTTTAACATATCTTAATGAAACGAGGATAACTAGCTACAAAAACATTTAATTTTCATTTGGGATTAATAAAAGGGGAGTGGTGGCGCAGAGGTTAGAGAGGTGGGCTTGTGATCCGAAGATCGCCGGTTCACGCCCCGGCCCCGACAACAACAAAATTGGGGGTGGGGTAGGTGAAACACCCACACTTGCCCCCACCCTCATTCGCCCCACTCTGGGCCCATGAGCAAGGCCCTTAACCCCCACCATGTGCTCCCTAAAACAGGTCTCTCTTGCAAATGAGTTCTCGTGGCTCAATGAGACTAACCTGGATAAATAAAGGCTAAATGAAAAAAAAAAAAAAAGTATTTCTGAATTGAATTGAAGTGAATTAGGCATAGCGTTTTTATTTATTTTTGCTATTTTGTCAAAAGGATATGTTAGGATTACAGCAACTTTCCTTGCCACCTCCTGCTAATATTCTAAATAATTAGTGTTTTATGTGAGCTTGTTGTTATTTTGGCTTTAATATTTCATTCCATCCCAACTTTTTTGTGATTTTAGGATGATGAGATGGATGATGATACTGCAATACGATGGGGAAATAGCATTTAAATAAAAAAGAAATTAAACATTTTTTGACAAATAAGAGCAACAACATCGATGAAGAGTTTCAGAGGACGCAAAAGCACAAAGGGAGTCATGATTGGAGCTAAGGGGGTGAGACTGTGTACTCATTTAAAATTCATCAAACACTTAATAGGAATTCAGCAACAAATGAGCAATCATATCCTATCTAATCACGTCATAACGCTGTGCTGTCTTTAACCATAAACAAACTTGTTACACAAATCAGCTTCATGACTTTATAATGCACAAAGTGTAAACCAGGATCAATGTTCTGTAAAATCTCTTATCAGGCAAGAAAAGCAGCTTTATAAAGGGATATATGCCCATTTTAAACAGCGAGGTGGGGAGAAATGATCACATGTTTTGTTTCCAGGGAATAGTCGTGTTTAAAAGTATAAGAATGAACTCTGACCAGTTGAAGCGAGTCAGAGGAGCCGAGTCCGACGGCTGCAGCAAGGCAATGGAGCCATTAGTGGACTGCAGTGTATCAGCAGGAACGTAGGGCTAGAGCGAGCAGTCGAATGTGTGCGACATAAAGAATCATGTAGCTCTGCGCTTGGGAGCTTTTGTCCTTGTAGACATGTATTTGTAGGTGTGTGTGTGGACGCAGGGTGACAGCATGTATTATAGCCGGCTAGCCTTGGCTGTGCTCAGAAAGCTAATCAGGTAATTGTTCAGGGGGACATTCCTGCCCAGCCTCAGCGGCTCTGACAGCAGACAGCATGAGAATGGACAAACAGGCAGCAGGACGTCATGGTTCATTCAAACTGAAGGGTTCACACCTTCAACAGATATCAAACATGGCTCATTAGACAAAAGCAGCTAAACGTATAAAACGGTTTGTGCAGTAAACAGCACAGGGAAGCTCTTAACAAGGGCAATGGACTTCTGAGCTCCAACTGTTTCAATGCACTAATAAAGCCAAAAGCTGTAATTGTTGCTCAGCAGCTCATAAGGATGAATCAACTAATTTATCAACGTGTGGTCTATAAAGGTTGTGGTTTGATAACTTATACACATTTAGATAAATCTGCAGTCAACTGACAAATAAGATGTTACAGATAATTTTAATGTAATAATGAGATGGCCACATGGGAATAAATGCACTGAAGAACTTAACGCAGGAAAAAAATCAAAATGGGAAGTAGTGCATCTAGAACACAAGGTTTAAATACATTTTTTAAATAAAAAGGTCAAAATAAAAATGTCTAAAATAAAACACATTCAGGGATCTAAATACATAAAAAAGTGTAGAAGGAAAACAATACAGAAATACATTTGTGGGGAAAATCATATAAAAAAAACTAAATGGAAAAAATGTTTTAAAAAACTGAACAGTTGTCTAAAAAAACAAAAACTAACTGACAAATAATGAAACAAATAAAAATTAAAATGGAAAATATCTATTTATAAAAACACATTTCAGAAATTTATCTGGCCAGATAAATTTGTGTTTTATTCTTAAATATGACAGTTTTAATCCTCCATACATTTGTTCAGGGTTTACATAAATAAATAAATAAATAAATAAATAAATAAATACATACATAAACAGTCAAGACAGGTAAACAGAAATATGATTAGTTACAATATGATTATTTGTCCATTGTTGTCATCATTCTTTGTTGAAATCAGGTCTCTCTTGTAAATGAGTCCTCGAGGCTCAATGGGATTTACCTGTAGAAATAAAGGTTGAATGAAAAAAGTAGTCCATCGCTCTTTCACTGTTTTCAAAGTAAGACTGAACACGAAGAAAATAACTAAAAATTGTACAGGACACATGATTGTCAACTTTAATATTGCTCACATGATTGGGACAGTACTGGATACGGCACAGTAAAAAGTTAATGAATAAAATGAAATACTTTGGACAGATGCTGCCATTTTGTAGTTTTCTCTCAATAAGCCTACACTGTGTCGCTGCTCATAAGGACTACATTTCCCAGAAGCCAACAGTGCGCCACCCAGAAGCCCCGTTGCCTTCTGCTGAAATACATAGAGGAAACGTTTTGATCTGATCGGAAAAAGTTTGGTCTTTTACAGTGACTTAGGCGCTCAGTGGGTTCAGAGAACCGCACAGAACTGGACCAGAGTGGGAGCAGAACCGGACCCCCAGACCCATAGGTGAACCCGAAAACTGTAGCTAGCCCACGAGGACTCCGGAGCGGGGATGCGCAGCCGTAGGTCCGGCGTTCTCTCTGGAGCTCACTGGGATTTTTTTCTATCCAGATTTGGACTCAATTTGGTCCTGTGCTGGCCATTCGAAGGTTTTCCCTCAAATGCACTTCAATGCTAAAGGACTACACAGAACCGGACCAGAACTGAAGCAGAACCGGACCTCCAAACCCATTGGCGAACCCGAGAGCAGGTAGCCGGCCAACGAGGATTTCAGAGCAGAGATGTGCCGCTGTAGGTCCGACTTCTCTCTGAAGCCCACCGCCACTACCAGAGAGCCAACCAGAACTGGCTATATATATATATATATATATATATATATATATATATATGTAA